TGATATTTTGTGACCTGAGTCTAAAGAAGGTTGAGAAGGGAACTAGACCGATAACCTATTTCGATAAGGAAGGATGACAAAATATCATCAAAAAATTTAAGTATAGGTAGAGAGTATAATAGGTTGCAGTTGAAAAATAAGCAGAATCAGCTGAAAAATGATTTAAAAATCTCGAATGAATTGGAACACGAAATCACGGGCTTGGGTTGAGACCTGATAAAGAAAACAATTGATGCTTCCGAAGAGTGGTGGGCTGAGAGACTAATGGTGAGCATTTTTTAAAAGTTTACTATTTTCGATTATTTTTAAAAAAAATTTCTAGTCCATCAACATGACAATTGAATTTGTAGGTGGTGTTAGCTGCTAAAAAATTTAAATGCAGTGGCATCAAGTCTAAGCTGGAAGAGAAGTTAGATCGTATGTTTGGTGGTGTTGTATTTACAAGCAACAATCCATGTGCCCCTAGTGAGGCGGGGCTTAGTGGCACTCCTGCAAATTTAGCAGCTGACCAGATAGGTGATTCTAACGAAGTCCTCAGCCCAAACCACAATAAAGTCGAATCCACAAGTCAATCAAAGAGGCTCAGGGTTGAGAAGAAGAAAAAGGAGGGAGTTGCTTTCATTGGAAGTTAGATATCACAATTGGTGGCTTCATGCAACAATGACCATGGCCTACCACAAGAAATATCTATCCAACAAATTACGTGAATTCTAAAGGCAACTCTAGATATTTTTGAGAACATGTCGTTGTATTTGTTCTCTACGATGTTGCTTGAAGATTCAACCCGAGAGAGTTTTTCATGACGATGACTGCAGACCGTTAGGTGGATTACCTACCTTATTTTCGTGGGAGCAATGCCGCTTGAGAGATACTTTATTTTACCATATCCTTGTGCGACATTTCATATTTATTATTTGTTTATTTTTTTTAGATATGCTACTTTGGACAATTTTCATTGAATGCTTAATTTTTTTCGTGCTACTCTGGGCATTTACGATGCTTTGTAAATGTCACTTTACTTGAGAGTTTTTCATTTTTTTTGTTTTCTATTTAATTCAAAAAAGTTATTTTGATGTTTTTTTTAATTCATAACATTATCTGATTGTAGTTAAATCGTTCAAGCTTATGTGTTAGCTACTTTGATACCAAAATACATAGATGCTAGCAGAGAAACCAAAGGAAGGAGAGTTGTAGCTATAGTGTATTTGATGCATGAGTATTATAACTCGCACATAGAATGCTCCCCTTGCATGACATCCTCCTATGTTGTCAATAAATGGGTTGGAGAACTACTTGCGAGCCCCCAACGGGGTTTGACAATACTTTTCACATGACACTGGCGAAATTCACTGATATGTTGGAGAAGCTTTGTAGAAATCATAGATTTCATGGCTCCTCCAAGTCAACTTCACAAGAGGTTTTAGCAATAACTCTCTACATATTATTATATAATTAACAAATACGAGAGCTATGGAACATTTTCAGCACACTTTCGAGACAATTTGCAGATAATTTTTAGTAGGGTTGAGTGCACCTGCCAGTTTTTCAACACAAGTCATAAAGCCAATAGATCCTACATTCGAATGGATCCCCGTGGATATTTCACACGATGCACGGTATATACCATACTTTCAGTTAGTTTCTCCTATTTAGTACATTCAATTTTCATATGAAAATACTAATTAAGAAACCTTTCATTTTCTTTTTAGAGTTGTATTGGAGCAATTGATGGAACACACGTGGATACATATATTCCAAACAATGAGGAGATCACATTCATCGGCTGTTGTCAATCATTGACGCAGAAATTCATGGTCCTATGTGACTTCAATATGTGTTTTACTTTTGTCTTGACTGGTTAGGAGAGAAGTGCACATGATAGTCGAATTTTCAAATCTGCAATACAGAATAAGAAATACAACTTCTTACATAGACCCACGGCTTCATTTGAGACTAGGTTGGTCATCTTTTTTTTTTTTACTTCAACACTAATCATTTTATTCATATAGGTGAATATTATTTGGTTGATGCTGGGTATCTATTGTAGCGATGGTATCTGATGCCCCATCTTGATATGAGATACCACATACCTGACCTTGAGCAAGCCAGCAATGTCACGCGAGCCAAGAGATAAAATGTTCAACAAAAGACACTCCTGATTATGTGGTTTCATTGAAAGCAATTTTGGTGTTTGGAAGAAAAAATGGGTTATATTTCACGATATGTCTGCTTACTCGTTTCCCAAAATGGTGCTAATTGTGGTTGTCATAATGACTTTTCACAATTATATTCGGCGACAACCTTCCCGCAATGACATCGACTTCAGTAGGGCAGACGAGAATCATGCACATGTCACTGTTGATGCATATGAGTATTGGCTTGGACAGTCATTGTTACAGACAAAAAATGATGTTCTCAAGAACTGCACTCAAAATGGGGAAGGTGCAAGCAAGATGACAGAGTGGAGGAAATAAATTGCAGATGCAATAGTTGGAGGGTTATTGGAGGAGATGTTACTTTATATTTCTGCTAATTTTAATGGTTGTTGAAGACATTCATTGTTTATTGTATCTGCACAGTATACAGTTCGTGTATAATTCTTTACATTATGCATTTGATATTTACTGCGGTCATTTTTTTTTGGCAAGTTATATTTGATTTTTTTCCTTTTGTATTTTTTTCTGTTTTTCTTTTTGTGAATTTTGGAGGTCTATGATGAGACGTTTGACCTAATGGTTCTTCTGGATGGTTTCTACATCGCTATTAGTTGATGTCACATGTTAGATCCTAATGAAAGCAACCACGTTCCTTTCTTTTTTTCGGTATTATGATTTCTGAGGATTTTCTAAATAGCCTTTTTTGGTGTTATGCATATGTGACACAAAAGAACTTGGTATTACATTTGTGAAAGATTTACTCTCTTTTTATTGTGACAGATTTATTGGTCTACATACTAAGTTCTCTGATACCTCATAGCTTCATAAAACTTTAACTAATTATTTTTGTTATTATTTTTTACTATTGCTATGTTTGAGAGTTAGTGTTGTTACGTCTTCAAAAAGGATGAGCTATAGAATTTCTGATATCTCCAAAGAAATGCACTGTTACTGCATACTTCAATGTTCGCTGCTCACATCAAATCAGTCACATAGCTACGAAAGACCGTTTTATAGGTGCCCACAAAGAATTATAGAAATCTGTGACTATTTTCGGTATGCAGATGGGCTAAAAGTTTCCACCGCTGAGAGTGATCGAGCGTGGAGAGTTTCCCTAGAGGACTGCTTATCTTGTGACATACGCCGTTAGTATTTTAAAAATAATGTTATTTTATTATTAATTATTATTTAAATAGTTATTTTCTTAATTCTGATAGTTATACTACTCACTGTTTACAGAGGTGTCCATCTATATTTATAATGTTTTGCACTGAATATTTGCTCTCAAGTATGAAATATATTGTTATGAAGAGTTCTATTAAAACCATTATTATACAAGGATAAAATAGTCATTTGTCCAGAAACAGCTGCAACACAGTTGTTTTTTAAATAACAAAGAATAAACAGACAACCAGTGTATATGGAGTAGCTTCTACGCAGCAGCTTCCTGTGATAGCTACTGTACAAATGTTTTTTATTAAGTTGCAGCTACCCCAAACAAATCCTTAGATAACCACTTTAGTAGACAAACTCAACTCATCAAAGCAGCTGATCTATTCAACCCGATAATTTGGTCACCCAATTTGATGAACTTATCCAACTAATCCATTTGACAAGTCAGTTTGATTTTATTAAGTGGGACAACGTGAAAAAGATTGTCAAATAGACAAACTTTTATGCTACACATTTTGCTATTTTACTTGTATTTAAAACATATACTTTAGTTCCTTTTATGTAGCGACTTATGTAGCGTATCAAGGCCTGCCTAGACATATAAATAGGGGGGTTACCAAAAGGGATAAGGACTCAAACTTCAAATAAATAAAAAAATTCTCTGTAACCGCCGCCTTGATGAAACTCTAAGAGATTCTCCTTTTTTTCTTCTACGATCTCTTCGTTTGATCTACTATTCTTTTCCTTATTTCAGCTTTTTTCCATGGTGTTCTTAGGATTCAACACAGAACAAGCCAATTTATCGAAATCTCCTCCCACCTTTGACTGCACTGAAGCCCTTAAACTATAATACTATGTGAAAAATAAAAAGAAAATCTAGTTTTAAACATAGAAAGCATGTCTAAGACCAGACAGCTTGGAAATAACCATATAGAAAAGCACCAATGCAGAAGTTCTGAACAAATTTATAACCAATATCGTACATTTAATCAAACGTTTCGGGCTTGATTGCACAAGAAGAAAACCGTCTTAAACCAATGGACGAAAGAATGAAATTTGTTATTCATTCTTTAAGTAATTTGTTAATCTTCAACCATTTCATATTGAATATACTAATCATCATCATCATTTGCTTTACCAAACTAATTATGATTCATTTACAAATTTTCATTGTTCGTTTATTTACCTGTAATATTTGAGGCATTAAATTACTTTTTTTTTCATATTTCCTTTGTTTTTACTATGTTTATTCTGATGCCTTTAATTTTTGTATTCTTTATTTTTTTTAGCATACATATACCAATTCTATTTTCAGGTTTATTAGGCTGGGTTCATTAAGAGCTTATTCAGTTGGTTGCATGGAGATGGAAAATATATTTTAAAAAAAAAAAGTGTTTCAATTTTACCTTTTGTTTTTTGCATAAGAAATCCACCTTTTTTACTTAGCTCAAACAGAAATTTGCATTTAAATGCATTCAACTTAACAATAATATACAATAACTCCATAATTTTCTAAAGCAATTTTTCCATCTACATGACACCAAGCGGATCATAATTTGAGCGTGCTAATTCTACAAATAAAACTACTACTTTTGAGTAACATAGCAAGCTTACATTGTCTATATCATAGAATCATGGTCAATATCATAGAATCATCCTCACAACAAAAAAAAACACATAAATACATATTTGATTTCACTTTAGAAGAAAATACATAAAAGCAGTTGTAGTTTAAGCAATTCATATCATTTATAAAGCCAGACACACCTTTTTAACAAGCAGAACAGAATTGTTCATGGAGACAAACATCACACTCTTATATATCAGTACTAAATTCTTGGTTAAGGAATTCTTACGTCAATCCGGCCATTAAAGATTTCTTATGTCCAAATCTCATTCAATCGCAGCCTAATTACTCAAAGTAATCTGCTTCAACAAAAAGAAATAGAATTAGTACAAGAACTAGAATAGAAAAGCCTATAATGAAGTAGTTTATGAATGAAATGAAAACAAAAGCTAAACAAAAGTTCTATCTTTGATTTAAATTACCTGTGAGAGTATTAGCTGCATGCTTGAATAAAACTCAGATGATTGAAGGCTGATGTGCCATGTCTGAGAGGTTTTTCACACATAGGCAATGGAAGGACGGTTTCGAAAGCTTCGACAAGCAGAGCCACCTTCTTCTTCCGGGCTGGACCTAAGTTTGTAACAGCCAGTTGAAGTGCATAATCTATCATCCATTCGTCTGAATTTCTTCTCTCATCCATTGTTTGATGCCTCAGATCCACTCTTTCTGCTTCTGGATCAGGCTCCAATGGAAGAAAATTTAGTGGCCGTGGGTTGAATTCCTTAACTTGGTCAAATTTTCTAGTAACTCCCTTTTTTGCAATATTCCATCTTGGGTTTGAAATACCATCAATTCCCTTGAAATTTGTAGCAGAAACATTCAATTTATTTCGACCTGTCTTGTTAGAAGCATCCGGCACCTCTTTCTCCGGACTTTCAGATTCATATCCCAATCTGCTTTCATTCATCATTTCTGATGGAAGCTTCTGAACTTCATCCTTGATGCTTTGTGAAATGAGCCCACTTTTTGAATCTTCTTCTGCTTCAATTGTGGCATAACTATTTGTTGTATTTTCAGAAAAATGCTCATCTGGGGATTCTGAGAACTCTCTTTTGTCAGGAAACAAACATATTTTCTCTTCCCACTTAATATCCGTAGTTCCGATTTCAGACTTCTTTTTTTCATCATCTTCCTCAGAGTCTTTCAGAGCTGTTGTTCTATCATGATCAAACTCCACATACTCAAGGAAGTTCACCATGACATCATCCATTTCATATTGTGATAATTCACTGTTCTGATCCACATCATAATCATAATCATCTTCAAAGCTGATATCTAAAGCTTCATTCGTTTGAGGCATAATTTCCATTGAATGTTTCACTTCATCGAGAATACACTGTTCATGATTATATTTCTCTTCAAAGTTGCTAATTTCATGACAGTTGTTCTCCTCTATGGTCTCTTCATCAATCAACTTTCCTTCCTTTTGTAACGGTCCATTTTTAAATGAAAACAGTCTCTGTACCATCAAACTTTTCTGGGTCTGGAGCAAATTCCTCCGTGCAGAAATGAAGCGCTGGAGAGGAGGCAAAGGCTCACGCATATGACCACCATTAAGGGAGCAGTAAGTGTAAGGGCAGACTCTTATCGTCGAACTTCCCTCGGCTTCAGTTGCTCCATGATTGAGCTCCAAAGCTGCAGGAAACCTCGAATCCTTCAAAGTTGATGAGCAGGTGGCCCCGTTCACATTCTTCTTCGAACACAAAGTGACCACCAATCTCTTCTTCATTGAAGATTTCACTTGTTTTAAGTTGGATTGTATGCTCTGTGCCTTCACAGCAGAAGAGGAATTCGAGTACTTCGAGTTTCTTGGTCTTTTCTTCTTATCATCAGAACTTCTAGTCGGTCTCATGTAGCTTCTGATTGGAGTTGAAGAATTCTTCTTGCATGGGGATGTTTTCTTGAATTGAATATCCATAGGGGGGAGTTCGAAGCTATCAAAATCAGAACATTTTGTAGAATTTACCTTTCTCAGTTTTTTCTTAAGATCAGTTCCTCTCATGATTTTTGTATCTGGTTGCAGATGAGAAGAGGGTTGTCTCTCTGATCGGCCATGGCTCTTCTTTTGTTCAGTTGAGGATTTTGGTCTGTCTGGTGCTTTCCTCTGAACCATGGTGTAACGTAAAAAAGAACTGCTAAGAAGGAACAAGGAAGAAGGAAGAAGGAAGAAGGAAGAAACAAGGTGGGATTGATTCTCATGAAATGTTGATGAAATTGATTGAGTTGGGGAGGTATCCTCTAAATTATATTAGGTGGGAGGGCCACCATGTTAATGGCTGATGGGAAAGTAACGGTGGCAACCACTTTGTTAGTGCAGTACTAACAAAGAAAATAAATGCAACTTTGAATACTGACCACAGATTTTGCTTTCAACTGGTGCTAAAGCTAAACTAATGAAGCCGTTTAGAAGAGGAAATGCAAATTGCGTTTTAAAAACAAATTTCTAGAATTCTAACCTAATCCTTTTTATCATCCAATTTAGTTGACGTACTGAATGGAATGAAGCAAATTAAAAACCAAAAGAAATCATCACCAAGTCTCTGTTTTTTTACAATGATGAAAATATATTATTTTAATCACACATTCCCTAGATGGATAATTACGTCAAAAGCTCAAAAATCGCTAAAAATTAAATTGATTTATTTTAATGAGTGTGACTAGATCCATTGATCCAATTAATTTTAATTTGAATATATATATATATATATATATATATATATA